TTAAACAGGGGTGGAGGCCTCCGGGTTCAACTGTCCCCCTCTTACAATGCTGTGATTGCTAGTATCACTCAACCCTCTGTGAGTAGTAAACAGCCATCAGGTGCTAATGATCCATTGTTAGGCTGATGGTCCTTCTTGAGCATGTGATCAGCTGGTTTTGGTTGTCAGCAGCAAAACTGGTTGATCCACTCTGAGAAGGTGCTACTTAAGAGACTGATCTGAATACAGCACCTCAGACTGAGGAAATCTTTTGGATGAAAAACGAAACGTTTGTACTTTTTTTTCTTTGTTTTGTTTTTTGAATGTCCAGAGGACCAGATTTAACTTTTTTAGATAACTGTTGAAAAGTTGACAATAATGAAAACTATGAGACTGAAATGTTTACACTGTGCAATAACGATGGCTCGTGTAAAACTTCTGTCAGACTGTTACAGGTTCAACCAGGGGCTCAGCCCCAGTGCAGACACTGGTTCTTGTTTGGTCAGAAGAATTTGTAAAGTGGAGTGGGGACACTGGCACCTCTGGGTGAGTCCTCCCCCTGAAAATTTTGAATAAAGTAGATGTGATTTCCTGGTGATTCTGGTGCATTTTAACAGGTTGTTAAACATCTACGTTTACCTACATTTGTAAACACTTTGCTTCTGACAAGAATCCTCCCCCCCTTACTTGATGGAACTTGATGGTTCAGAGCCCGACACTGTCCCCATTCATTGTTGTCCGACTCCACATGTGAAACCTCCAGGCGTCTACCTGCACCTGCCTATGACCTCCTGCCAACGTACGACTGCCTGGTTAGCTCGGCACTCACCCCACCACTCTTTTAGTGGTGTAGAGTTTTTTAAATAGTAGCAGCAGAAATGCTACTTGAAGGGGCAGCTCTGACGTGATATTAAGAAGCTTGTAACTGACTGTTGTGTTTAAAATTAGTGTTTATGGTATTATTTTCAGTTTACATATCCAATATAGGTTTTATTCGTTCAAGGCAGTTATATTTGTTCATAACTTTATTATTAGTAAGCCTGAGAGTTACCGGAACACACTGTCAATATAAGAGAGGTCTTGGATCCTGTTCCAGCAGAATCCAGCTCAAATTAAGCCCTGGATAGAAAGGTGCTATATAAGTACAGTCCATTTACCAGAAATGTAAACATTTTGTTTGTCAGTGGAGATGACTACAAATGTAATTTTTACGGTGTGTTTATTTTCGGGCAGCGTAGTGGCACAGTTAGTAGAGTGACTACAAGAGCGCCAGCAACCCCCCGACCTGGAAAGGAAGAAGCCGGTAAAGGTAAGGAATGGATGAGTGTTTATTTTCATAAGTAGGAAACGGTCCACATGACTCCTTCAGTGGTGAAGGCTGCAGAGCTATTGGACACAGTGTGACACTGCTGTCTTCTCACCTCCTTTGATTTGGGGCAGTCCAAGTTCCAGCCACAGATCTGATCGTTTCCAGTGAACATGTTCATGGACATCATGCAGATGGTGAGAGTGACAGTGCCGATGATCACCTCCCAGGGGTGGGAGGCCACAAGGAGGCCATGGGCTCGAAAAAGAGGACTGAGCATGGTGAGACTGGGCTGTGAAACACAAGGAGAGACACAACGAGTCAAATCAGAACTCTGCTGCAGATAAGAACCTGTCTTCATCTGAAGGACAGAGAAAACTGTGACCACCCTTACAAAATACACTTTTACTCCCTAACTAGAGAAAAGTGCTTTTTCTGTGAAAGTGTAATGTGCCTGTGAATGACTGCTGACATTTGCTGAAGAAGCTGAAACGAAGTCACTACAGTTAAAACAATCAAAGCAGAAGTTCAAATGTGCAAAACTGTACCAAAAAACTAAAATGAGTTAAATCATAGTAAAAGGCTAAATTAACAAAAACATTATTACCTCTCGTTTGGACTATTGTAATTCATTGTATGTTGGTTTAGACAAATCATCTTTGCGTCATTTACAATCTGTCCAGAACGCAGCAGCTCGTCTTTTAACAGCAACTAAAAAATATGAACACATAACCCCTGTCCTGGCTTCTCTCCACTGGCTTCCTGTCCACTTCCGCATTAAGAGCACTCCGGTCTATCAACCAGTTCCTCTTAGATGTCCCCAGATCCAAACTGAAATCCAGAGGTGATCAGGCTTTTGCGGTTGCTGCTCCAAAACTGTGGAACAGTTTACCCGAGAATTTAAAGACCGCTCAGACTGTTGAGACTTTTAAATCTTTGCTGAACTCATCTGTATTCCTTGGCATTTGATCCACACAGAGTCTGAGAACAAATTTTGAGCAGATTTTATTGTTGTTGTGTATTTACTGTTAACTTTCTTATATTTTTGAGTCGCGCTAGATGCATTTTTTACTCTTTTTATCCGTCTTAACTGTAAAGTACTTTGGTCAGCTTTTGTTGTTTTTATGTGCTATATAAATAATTTGATGATGGACTTGCGACCAGTCTGGGTGTACCCCGCCCCTCACACAGTGATTGCCAGACATGGGCACCGGCGATCCCCCAAAATGGAAGAAGCGGGTAAAAGATAATGGATGGATGGATGGATAAATAAATTGACATTAAAAAGTGTAAAATGGCCAAAAACAGCAAAAGGAGACAAAAATGGAGGAAAAAAAAGACTGAATAAATTAACTATATTAAAAAGAAGAACAAAAGGCACTTTATATCAGTAGTTACAGTCCCAACACATGAAAAGAAACCATGAAGAGAAGAAGTGAAGTGTGACATTACACTCTAACTTGGTGTTCTGAACACATGTGGCATGTCTGGGTCCAGACAGGGACACTGTGACATCACTGATTATCTGATCGGCTGATATTCACTGTGGAGTATCAAACATTATCAATTTGTTCCAGGAAAGTAGGTTACAAAAATAAAGATTTCTTTTACTTTTGTTCTACATTATCTTTCAGATAACTACCATACTGAAGGGCTAATATATTAGCATTATCATCCACCACCAAAGGCAGAAAGGCCATATTGTTTTTCTTCGTCTGTTAGCAAAAGATGTCGTGAACCAGTCATGAACAGACTGGAACAAACAGAAAGTGGCTAAGAACACTGTGTAGGAATTCTGTCCTGTCTTCTTCCTCCCTCCACCCAGGACACAAATTGGCAGCAGCTGCGGCTCATCAACACTACACACAGGAGAAGTATAAGAAGCCACAGAGACCATTCAGCAGACGCTGGGACATTCACTACCAACAGTAGAGCTGATCTAGCCAGTTATTCAGTGAAAAGCTTAAAATCACTAATGCCTCGTGTTTTGTGTCCATCTCATCAGAGTTCACCTGTCGTCCTGCTGTTCTGCCGTGGAAGCCTCTGTGAGAATCTTATCCTCCTGCACTCCTTCCACTGCTCTGCACCTCCACCACTTGCCTGCCTGTTTTGGATCTACTCTTCACTCTAAGTTCTGGAAATGGTTGGGTACTCGATTCCTGCTCCAACCTCAATCATCTCCTGTAAGAATACCAACTGTCAAAATTCTACCAACCTCCTCCAAACAATCTTCTAACTGCTCCCTCTGCCCTGCAGGAGAACCAGCTCCCTCACCTGTTGTCACTTTGATATCTCACCTTGTAAATAAACACAGTAAATTGGTATTGAGTCCTGGTCTCGGTATGTCACAGTCCTTTCAGTTTGAGTACACCCGTTATTATAACAGAAATGTCCCAGCCAAACAAAGTACCCCAGAAAGAGCTTGAGGTTGAATAGAACCAATTCTTGCTCCAGACATTAATACAAAGGGTGGAAAAGAATGAAGCCGCATTAGAGTGTATGATCACCTCTCAACAAACAAATCAATCTAATTTACAGGAATTGGGCAGTATGATGTTCTCCATTAAACAAGGAATGGCACAACTTCTGTCACCTGCTTCAACTCCTCCACCTGCGGTCAGTCCACTGAGTCCTACCCCCTCACAAGCTACAGTGATGGAACAGAGTTTAAAGCCCTCGGAACTTTACGGGGGAGAACCCGAACTTTGTGCTGGTTTTGTATTACAATGCCAGTTAGCCTTCGAGAGAGCCCCTCTTCTTTATGATTAATTAGTTGAAAGGAGACACGTTACGGTGGGCTCATGCTCATATGTCTACTCACCCTCTCAGTTCACTAACTTTCCCTCTGATTTTAGAGGAATTCACCCATGTCATCGACCAACCTCTTCAAAAAGCGGAAGCAGTGAAGCGACTACTCACCCTCAGACAAGGAGGATGCTCAGTGACCGCTCACGCTTTGGAATTTAAGATCACCACTGCTCAGACTGGATGGAGCGAACCAGCACTTAGAAGTACCTTTTTATATTCATTATCCAACCGCATTCAAGACCAGTTGGCGGCCTGGGAGGAACCTGAAACACTTGATGAACTAATCCATCACGCTGCATGCATTGACAGTCAACTGCAAGAGAGAAGGTGGGAAAGGGACTACAACTCCCAGTGCTCCTCCACTTCTGGGTTCCGCTCAACCAAGAAGAACTACACTTCCCAGAGACCCTCTACTTATGGGTTTCTATTGACTCCTAGGCAACCACCTGCGCTCGCTCTCGAATATAAACCGACAACAGAACCAGAACCAATGCAATTGGGCCGGGCTCGTCTCTCCCCAAAAGAAAGAAGGCAAAGAATTTATGAGGGGGCTTGTGTATATATTGTGGTGAAAAAGGACACTTTATCGCTCATTGCCCGCTTTTGGGAAACAACCCCTCCCACCAAGAAAGCAGGAGATATTGGTGGGAAATTATGTTTCATCTTCTGTATTTCATTTGGAACTTAATACGACTATTATTGTTGGTAAGAAAAGAAGATCCGTTGCTGCTTTTGTTGATTCTGGGGCTGAGCAGAATCTTATCAGTCGGGATCTTGTCAACCAACTGTCGATTCCTACCCGGTGTCTTTCTACACCTCTGACAATGTCCGGTCTCACAGGTCAAAAGTTCACCTCGGTTCAAGATAAGACTCTTCCCACTCATCTGATCAATCAATCTCATCAATGGTTCTAGAATTGCGCCGCTCCAGGTGGCTGCATGTTGGAGCAGCTCTCTTATTTTCATTCTGAGATTTTGCTTTTGGAAACTTTAATTCCTGGTTTTCTGGATGTAAATCACATTTTTTTTATGATTGTTTCCTCTGGTATCAGATGCTGTGCAGCTGGAAGGATTTTTACTGAAACTTTTTTAGTTTTGGACATTTGTTATGATGCGTAACCATGGCAACAAGGCTGTTTTCTACAACAACAGCAGCTGATTAACATCTCAAAAGCTCAAATAATATCTCAACTACAGCCCCAACTCTCAAATGAGTTGAAAAGGATGTTATGTGGACGCATTCTCATCTACCTGCCAGCTGTGCTCGAGTGCCTGACCACTGAGATCCTGGAACTAGCAGGAAACACGGCTCACGACAGCGGAAGGACAGGATCGTCCCTCAGCACCTACAATTGGCTGTCCGCAGCAATGAGGAGCTCGGCAGACTGCTGGGAGGAGTGGCCATCGCTCTGGGAGGAGTTCAGCCTGGCATTCAGGCGGTCCTACAGTCCAGGGGAACTGAGAGGTCAGCCGAGTCTGGATGGACGGATCGGACGGCATCTGCAGCCAGTTTTTTAGGATCCACTGTGGGATGGACCTTTACAAAAGATCCTTCCTGTCTACAGCCATCAGCATCTATAATATCTCTTAATGAAATGAGGATAACGAGTTACAACAACAAAATAATTTCCCTTTGGGATTAATAAAGTATTTTTGAATTGAATTGAATTGAATTTTGAATCATCTTCGGAAACCATCACAAATGCAATGAGTTTTTTTGTTTTTGATTCACCCATTACACAGCTCATTTTGGGGTTCCCCTGGCTCAGAGAACACAATCCCATGATAAATTGGGTAGAAAAGAGAACTGAACAATGGAGTCCTTGTTGCTTACAGAACTGTCTCAGAACCGCTGTTCCTTCTGTCGCCAAACACAATGAGACCTCTGATGATATAGCTCTCTCCAAGATCCCTACTGTTTACCATGACTTGGCTCCAGTATTTAGTAAACAAAGGGCGTTATCCGTGCCTCTACACAGATCCTACGACTGTGCTATTGATTTACTCTCGGGGGGGGGGGGGCCCTCTCCCCGCTAGTCGCCTTTATAATTTATCGAGTCCAGAACTATGAAGGAGTACATCTCATAGTCTTTGAACTCAGGGATTATCAACCCCTCTACCTCTCCTGTGGGGGCTGGGTTTTTCTTTGTAGCTAAAAAAGATAAGATGCTACGGCCCTGCATTGATTATAGGGGGCTAAACTAAATCACCATAAAAAACAAATATCCGTTGCCTTTGATTGACTCCATCCACGAACAACTGCATCTAGCCAAAATCTTCTCTAAACTCGACCTCCGCAATGATTATCATCTCGTTCGTATCAAGGAGGGGGACAAGTGGAAGACTGCATTTAAAACACTGTTAGGTCATTTTGAATATTTAGTCATGCCCTTCGGCATACCAATGTACCGGCAGTCTTTAGACACTTGTAAATGACGTTCTAATAGACTTTTTGAATGTATTTGTGTTTGTGTACTTGGACG